TTAGTAGTTATGGTCTGGGTTAGGCATATCTTGGTAGTAGTAGTTATGGTCTGGGTTAGGTATATGTTGGTAGTAGTTAGTAGTTATGGTCCGGGTTAGGTACATGTTGGTAGTAGTAGTTATGGTCTGGGTTAGGTATATGTTGGTAGTAGTTAGTAGTTATGGTCTGGGTTAGGCATATGTTGGTAGTAGTAGTTATGGTCTGGGTTAGGTATATGTTGGTAGTAGTTAGTAGTTATGGTCTGGGTTAGGTATATGTTGGTAGTAGTTAGTAGTTATGGTCTGGGTTAGGCATATGTTGGTAGTAGTTAGTAGTTATGGTCTGGGTTAGGCATATGTTGGTAGTAGTAGTTATGGTCTGGGTTAGGTATATGTTGGTAGTAGTTAGTAGTTATAGTCTGGGTTAGGTACATGTTGGTAGTAGTAGTTATGGTCTGGGTTAGGTATAAGTTGGTAGTAGTAGTTATGGTCTGGGTTAGGCATATGTTGGTAGTAGTTAGTAGTTATGGTCTGGGCTAGGTATATGTTGGTAGAAGTTAGTAGTTATGGTCTGGGTTAGGCATATGTTGGTAGTAGTTAGTAGTTAGTTGTTATGGTCTGGGTTAGGTATATGTTGGTTGTAGTTAGTAGTTATGGTCTGGGTTAGGCATATGTTGGTAGTAGTAGTTATGGTCTGGGTTAGGCATATGTTGGTAGTAGTTAGTAGTTATGGTCTGGGTTAGGCATATGTTGGTAGTAGTAGTTATGGTCTGGGTTAGGTATATGTTGGTAGTAGTTAGTAGTTATAGTTTGGGTTAGGTACATGTTGGTAGTAGTTAGTAGTTATGGTCTGGGCTAGGTATATGTTGGTAGAAGTTAGTAGTTATGGTCTGGTTTAGGTATATGTTGGTAGTAGTTAGTAGTTATAGTTTGGGTTAGGTACATGTTGGTAGTAGTTAGTAGTTATGGTCTGGGCTAGGTATATGTTGGTAGAAGTTAGTAGTTATGGTCTGGGTTAGGTATATGTTGGTAGTAGTTAGTAGTTATAGTTTGGGTTAGGTACATGTTGGTAGTAGTTAGTAGTTATGGCCTGGTTTAGGTATATGTTGGTAGAAGTTAGTAGTTATGGTCTGGTTTAGGTATATGTTGGTAGTAGTTAGTAGTTATGGTCTGGGCTAGGTATATGTTGTTAGTAGTTAGTAGTTATGGTCTGGGTTAGGTATATGTTGGTAATAGTTAGTAGTTAGTAGTTATGTTCTGGGTTAGGTATATGTTGGTAGTAGTAGTTATGGTCTGGGTTAAGTATATGTTGGTAGTAGTTAGTAGTTATGGTCTGGGTTAGGCATATGTTGGTAGTAGTTAGTAGTTATAGCTTGGGTTAGGTACATGTTGGTAGTAGTTAGTAGTTATGGTCTGGGCTAGGTATATGTTGGTAGAAGTTAGTAGTTATGGTCTGGGTTAGGCATATGTTGGTAGTAGTTAGTAGTTAGTAGTTATGGTCTGGGTTAGGTATATGTTGGTTGTAGTTAGTAGTTATGGTCTGGGTTAGGCATATGTTGGTAGTAGTAGTTATGGTCTGGGTTAGGCATATGTTGGTAGTAGTTAGTAGTTATGGTCTGGGTTAGGCATATGTTGGTAGTAGTAGTTATGGTCTGGGTTAGGTATATGTTGGTTGTAGTTAGTAGTTATAGTCTGGGTTAGGTACATGTTGGTAGTAGTAGTTATGGTCTGGGTTAGGTATATGTTGGTAGTAGTTAGTAGTTATAGTTTGGGTTAGGTACATGTTGGTAGTAGTTAGTAGTTATGGTCTGGGCTAGGTATATGTTGGTAGAAGTTAGTAGTTATGGTCTGGTTTAGGTATATGTTGGTAGTAGTTAGTAGTTATGGTCTGGGCTAGGTATATGTTGTTAGTAGTTAGTAGTTATGGTCTGGGTTAGGTATATGTTGGTAATAGTTAGTAGTTAGTAGTTATGTTCTGGGTTAGATATATGTTGGTAGTAGTTATAGTCTGGGTTAGGTATATGTTGGTAATAGTTAGTAGTTATGTTCTGGGTTAGGTATATGTTGGTAGTAGTTAGTAGTTATGTTCTGGGTTAGGTATATGTTGGTAGTAGTTAGTGTTTATGGTCTTGGTTAGGCATATGTTGGTAGTAGTTAGTAGTTATGGTCTGGGTTAGGTATATGTTGGTAGTAGTTAGTAGTTAGTAGTTATGGTCTGGGTTAGGTATATGTTGGTAGTAATGAGTAGTTATTGTCTGGGTTAGGTATATGTTGGTAGTAGTTAGTAGTTATGGTCTGGGTTAGGTATATGTGGGTAGTAGTTAGTAGTTATGGTCTGGGTTAGGTATATGTTGGTAGTAGTTAGTAGTTATGGTCTGGGTTAGGTATATGTTGGTAGTAGTTAGTAGTTATGGTCTGGGTTAGGTATATGTTGGTAGTAGTTAGTAGTTATGGTCTGGGTTAGGTATATGTTGGTAGTAGTAGTTATGGTCTGGGTTAGGCATATATTGGTAGTAGTTAGTAGTTATGGTCTGGGTTAGGTATATGTTGGTAGTAGTTAGTAGTTATGGTCTGGGGTAGGTATTTGTTGGTAGTAGTTAGTAGTTGTAGTTTGGGTTAGGTACATGTTGGTAGTAGTTAGTAGTTATGGTCTGGGCTAGGTATATGTTGGTAGAAGTTAGTAGTTATGGTCTGGTTTAGGTATATGTTGGTAGTAGTTAGTAGTTATGGTCTGGGCTATGTATATGTTGTTAGTAGTTAGTAGTTATGGTCTGGGTTAGGTATAGGTTGGTAATAGTTAGTAGTTAGTAGTTATGTTCTGGGTTAGGTATATGTTGGTAGTAGTTATAGTCTGGGTTAGGTATATGTTGGTAATAGTTAGTAGTTATGTTCTGGGTTAGGTATATGTTGGTAGTAGTTAGTAGTTATGTTCTGGGTTAGGTATATGTTGGTAGTAGTTAGTGTTTATGGTCTTGGTTAGGCATATGTTGGTAGTAGTTAGTAGTTATGGTCTGGGTTAGGTATATGTTGGTAGTAGTTAGTAGTTAGTAGTTATGGTCTGGGTTAGGTATATGTTGGTAGTAATGAGTAGTTATTGTCTGGGTTAGGTATATGTTGGTAGTAGTTAGTAGTTATGGTCTGGGTTAGGTATATGTGGGTAGTAGTTATGGTCTGGGTTAGGTATATGTTGGTAGTAGTTAGTAGTTATGGTCTGGGTTAGGTATATGTTGGTAGTAGTAGTTATGGTCTGGGTTAGGCATATATTGGTAGTAGTTAGTAGTTATGGTCTGGGTTAGGTATATGTTGGTAGTAGTTAGTAGTTATGGTCTGGGGTAGGTATTTGTTGGTAGTAGTTAGTAGTTATGGTCTGGGTTAGGTATATGTTGGTAGTAGTTAGTAATTATGTTCTGGGTTAGGTATATGTTGGTGGTAGTTAGTGTTTATGGTCTTGGTTAGGCATATGTTGGTAGAGGTTAGTAGTTATGGTCTGGGTTAGGTATATGTTGGTAGTAGTTAGTAGTTAGTAGTTATGGTCTGGGTTAGGCATATATTGGTAGTAGTTAGTAGTTATGGTCTGGGTTAGGTATATGTTGGTAGTAGTTAGTAGTTATGGTCTGGGGTAAGTATTTGTTGGTAGTAGTTAGTAGTTATGGTCTGGGTTAGGTATATGTTGGTAGTTAGTAGTTATTGTCTGGTTTAGGTATATGTTGGTTGTAGTTAGTAGTTATGGTTTTGGTTAGGTATTTGTTGGTAGTAGTTAGTAGTTATGGGCTGGTTTAGTTATATGTTGGTTGTAGTTAGTAGTTATGGTCTGGGTTAGGTATATGTTGGTTGTAGTTAGTAGTCATGGTCTTGGTTAGGTATATGTTGGTTGTAGTTAGTAGTTATGGTCTGGGTTAGGTATATGTTGGTTGTAGTTAGTAGTCATGGTCTGGGTTAGGTATATGTTGGTTGTAGTTAGTAGTTATGGTTTTGGTTAGGTATTTGTTGGTAGTAGTTAGTAGTTATGGGCTGGTTTAGGTATATGTTGGTTGTAGTTAGTAGTTATGGTCTGGGTTAGGTATATGTTGGTTGTAGTTAGTAGTTATGGTTTTGGTTAGGTATATGTTGGTAGTAGTTAGTAGTTATGGCCTGGTTTAGGTATATGTTGGTAGTAGTTAGTAGTTATGGCCTGGTTTAGGTATATGTTGGTAGTAGTTAGGGTTAGGCCATATAATATGAATGAAAGTCAATGAAATGTCCCATATGTCATGAAAACAAAGTGGTGTGTGTGTTTGCTCTGCTAAGCCTGACTAATTAGTTAAGCTGTGCAGTGATCTAAGCTCTAAGCAGTCACTATCTTATTGATTATGTTTCATTCAGTGTCATTTCTTCACTGGATTTTCCTTCAGACCGAATCAATTGTCAACATTTTACAGATTCATTTTCTTTTTTTTTTTCAGGTTTTCCACCTTTTAGCCTTGTTGTCACTGATTAACAGGGAAAACAATTTTCCTAAAATGCTGCTTTTATTCACACCCTTCAGATTTCACCTTATTGTTTGAACCTTTCTGTGACCTGAACAAGAACCAAAGACACACATTTTACAAAATGTACAAAAGTTCCAACAAATCTCAAAAAATTCATTATTGTTTGTTTTACTTTGTTATTTTCTGAAAAGGTCCAAATGTAGGAAATGTCAGATAAATGATAGAAACAGATTTGTCTGCTGGGATTGCTTTGGTCTCTAAGAAGTAAACTTCCTTATATGAGAAGCCAGTAAAACATTATACATCAGTGGATTCAGTGTTTACCTTCTCCACGTCACACTTTGTTTGATTTATTTAAACAGATTCAGTTAACATCGTAAAAAGAAGAAGAAATGTGACATCTAGAATGGAGCTTGTTGACCAGCTCAGTGTCCTTAGATTGTCGCTAGGCTAATATGGACCTGAGGAGGGATTCTGGACGGTTTGGTACAGGAACTGTCCTTTAGGTCGCCTGTGGTCTCTTGACATTTCCTCTGAACTCTCTTCAACCAGGTGTCCAACCTCTACCTGTATGACAGCGTGTTGATGCTGGCCAACGCTTTCTACAGGAAGCTGGAGGACAGGAAGTGGCACAGCATGGCAAGCCTGAACTGCATCAGAAAGTCCACCAAGCCATGGAACGGAGGCTGGTCGATGCTGGAGACCATCCAGAAGGTAAAACCAGAACGTCTGATCTAGTTCTTCTACTTCTACTTCTGTTTAACAAAGGACTTCCAATGCAGCACAAGAGCTGTTGTTCAGTGACAGGAAGCTAAAACCACAGCAAACACCTGAATCTTTGTGAAATTAGAATCTTTAGTTTCGCCAAATGGAAACCCGTTTTAAATGAGTTTCCATCAGAATTTAAGCTTTTGGTAGAGGTATATTTCAAGATGGCGGGAAGTGCATAATGGGATACTCAGTTTGTTAACATCTTGTTTAAAACAATCAACAGAAGCATTGTCTCTCCTCAAAACATCAGCTAAGCTAGCAAGTGTCTTGTATTGCAAAGCAGATTTGAGAAAATTATTACGCACCTGGAGGAAGAACCAAAAACGCAGATGCTGCTAAACGCCCTCGACGAGCTGAGACAGGGCATTACACCTCAACTCCAGCGGCTGCCCTCAACTACACCAACCAGCTGAATGCCTTCGAAATCTATTAACGCAACGCTGACAGAAATGAACAATAAACTTGATATGCTGAGCGACCATGTCAGGAAAGTGCATCGAATGTTCGTAATGAAGATCATATGGAGGAATTGCAAGAACCAAGGAGAGGAGCTACCTGACCTGAAGCTTTGGAGAAACACAGCCCACATTCTCGGGGTCCCAGAGACAGCGGAGCAGCAAGACCCCAATGGTTTTGTCCAAAAAAAACGCTCATCCATCTGTTCCGACCGCAAAACTTCGGGACGGCTCCGTTGATTGAAAACGATTCCAACACGCAGAGATGAGCGGGAGGATCTGTTCTGAAGCCCATCGTGGTTAAATTCCTACAACTTCAGGACAGATAAAACGTGCTTCGACATTTTATATCATAAATGCCTTTGGAGGAAATAAAATTCATCTTAATTCTATAAATCTCAGTCTCAGTTCTATAAGTCTCAGATATGCTAATCTGTAAAGACAGGAGAAACTTTAATGACTCACGAAAATTATCCATTTAAGACCGGATTGTTTTCTTACTTCTACATGACGTTTCAGGTGTGATCTTCCTAAAACCTAGAAACAGCTTTAATATTATTATTTTTTTTACACTTTAATAATCCCAGAGGGAAATTCCTTCTCTGCTTTTCTCTGCGGCACCCGGGGTTAAGGGTCTTTCTCAGTGAGCCAGAGTGAAAGTCTGTGGGAGTGGGGGATCAAACTCACAACCTCAGGATTCAAAGCCCTATGCCCTAACCACTAGGCCGCCCTCACATTAACCTGCAACATCACCCGTGGGATGTTCTTAAAAACTTTAAAGCATAAAAACACGCTGAGCTCTAAAAACCTCAGATAGATAATCTTTTAGTGTGTTTATAAGGATGCATTCGGACGTTTTCAATTTGGCCTTCGATAATTTTCCTCAATCGAACCAATGAGCTGGGCATGCTTCGGTGGAACAGCGGTTAGCGTGACCGAACCATGTACGGAGTCCTTAGTCCTCAACGTTTCCGACCTGGGTTGGAGTCAGACCTGTGCCATTAAAAAAACTCACTGAGCCTCTGAACCAGGCTGCATCCTCTATGCTGCGCAGTGATTGCAGATATAATCTGCATGTGCCAAGGATGGTCTTTTTATTCTGTTAAATAAACAACAGAGGACTCCGCGATGTTCTCTTGAACCCCTCCACCCTGGAACCTTTTTGGATCATGCAGAGGTTTTAGAAAATGTCTGCAGCTGAACAAAAACCCAAGGAAACCAGGAAAGGGAAGATGCACCGCAGAGATCTGCAGGCCGGGACTCAAACCTTTGACGTTGAAGCCTAAAGCCACTGCACCATAGTTTTAGACATTTCTCCTCTGATGTGAGAGTTTTTGCTTTTCTTCCAGTTTCAGTTAAAAGAAGCACGTGGCAAAGATAATGAGACATGAACAAATAACCTCCAGTTAGCAGAGGGTTAATAAAACATGAAGTTTTGGCGTAACATGGATGTAAAAACCTGATTCTAATGCGTCTCATGGCTCCAGCCTAGACTCTGCTGTTGATGCTCTAATTGGTGAAGAAGCTTTTCAGCCAGGCTTATGGGTCCCTCTGAGCTGCATTTGCTGCCCGTTAGTAAAAAAAAACATCAGTTCTTTGACGTGTATCACAGATAAAAAACAAAGAATTCATTAAAATCACTCCTGTCTCATTCTTCATGTGTGAAAAATACTCATAAAAATATCAGTTACTTCATTAATATGATCAATCTGATTCTCAGGATCAATGAAAAACATTAATGACTGAAACTGATCTTGGATAAAATCTGCAGGAAGATTTCAATCTTAAATGTGTTGTTGGCATTTCAGCTGCATAACAAATCAGCAAAGGGAGGACATTGATTGATCTAACATTTACTTCTGAAGGAAAATCACACAAAAGCAAATCACTTGTCCAGGTGTAGTTTTTATATTGTTAAAACACTTCATAGTATTTTACTGTTTATCTTTTAACTCTTCACTATTATGCTATTCTTTTTCTAAGGTCCACATTTGTGTGACCATTTTTTCTAAAATCCTTTTGCTGCTGTAAACAGCAGAATTCCCTCACTGTGGGACAATAAAGGGATTTTCTATCCACTTTATGACTGTCAGGATCCGTGGAAGTTTGTGGAGGATGTGGAGGAGGAGATGGAGGAGGAGATGGAGGAAGCTTTTAGCTCCAGCAGCAAACAGGCAAAGAACACAGGGAGCAGAAACAGCAAAGTGGGACTTATAGAAGGAAATAGTCAATACTCACACCCTAACCCTAAACCTCATCTGAAACTTTCCTTTAAAATACTAACATCTATACCAACAAAATACAAACAACTAACATCTGTTTGGTTGGTTTACTCATACATATCATTCCGCAGGACCCAAATATAACAGAACTCCTCCACTGGAGGCAGGAACTCTCCTCCAATCTGAATGGAACAGGCCTCCTTTATCTGGTCCAGAACCTGAACCATGGCCTCACACTCGGCTGCAGACCACCCCAGCCAGCAGAACCATGTCATCCCAACAAAGCAGGAATGAGATCTACTGACTCCCAAACTGGGCCCCCTGCAGTCTTTGGCTGCACCTAGAAATCCTGTCCCCCCAACCCTAACCCTGTCCATAAAGGTTCTGAACAGAACAGGTACCAGAGGACAGCCCTGATAGAGTCCAACATTCACTGAGAACAGGTCCGGCTTCATGCCTGCAATGTGGTCCAGACTGCTGGTGCGTCTGTACAGAGACTGGACGGCCCCTAGGAAAGGGCCCCCGACTCTGTTCCCCTGAAAGTCCCCCCCCCCCCAAATGAGGGACATGGTCGAATGCAATCTCCAGGTCTACAGATTACATGTGGACTGGTCAGTCAGGCAATGATGCCATGGAGCAGCCTATCTGCATAACTAGTCATTGGCTGACACATATGACAAAGCCTGTGCTGAGACACATAAAGCTGCCATATAGCAGAGCCGTAAAAATCACTGTCCTCTCCTCTTTCCCCCCTTAACCACCTCTTTACAGGGAAACATCACAGGTCTGACAGGAACAATGGACTTTAAGGATAGCGGCTCAAACTCCCACGTCCAGTTTGAGATCATCGGCTCCAGCTTCAGCGAAACCTTCGGCAAAGACATCAAAAGGGTGAGTTCACAGTTTTGCACAGTCCAGTTAATCCACTGCTTTAGATGTTGCAATATGTTATTCCCTACAGCTCATTGTTCTACCCGTTCCTGGTAGTTTCTGGCAGTAGCCGTGTTGCAAAGAGGATAGCTGCTAGCTGTTATCAATGAGCAGCATGTCATCAGCTCAGTAGGTATGCTGAGGTGTTTGCCACTAAAGCCCCGTCACACCTTGATGAATTAGACCAGCGTATGCCTGACGAACCAAAAATCTGGCAAAAACGCTGGCATACGTTGGGTACGTTTGTTATAAACACGCTGAGAAAAGGCTGAAACACGCTGAAACACACTGAAACGGGCTGAATCATTCTGAAATACGCTGAAAAAGGCTGATACACGCTGAAGCACACTGAAACATGCTGAAACGGGCTGAATCATTCTGAAACACGCTGAAGCACACTGAAACACTAAAACATGCTGTAACACGCTGAAACACACTGAAACATGCTGAAGCAGACTGGAACACACTAAAACATGTTGAAGCACGCTGAAACACACTAAAACATGCTGAAGCACACTGAAACACACTGAAAATGCTGATACACGTTGAAACACGCTGATACACGCTGAGGCACGCTGAGGCACGCTGAAACACACTAAAACATGCTGAAGCAGACTGGAACACACTAAAACACGTTGAAGCACGCTGAAACACACTAAAACATGCTGAAGCACACTGAAACACACTGAAAACGCTGATACATGTTGAAACACGCTGATACACGCTGAGGCACGCTGAAACACACTAAAACATGCTGAAGCACACTAAAACACGGCTGAAACACACTGAAAACGCTGATACACGTTGAAACATGCTGAAACGTTTAAAAAACGCTGATACACGCTGAGGCACGCTGAAGCACACTAAAACATGCTGAAATATGCTGAAGCATGCTTGAAACATGCTGAAACATGCTTAAAAAACGATGATACACACTGAGGCAAGCTAAAACACGCTGAAAAACGCTGGAACATGCTGAAACACACTCAAAACACTGATACATGCTGAAAAACGCTGATACATGCTGAAAAATGCTGAAACACACTAAAAACATGCTGAAACACTCTGAAGCACACTGAAACACACTAAAACACGCTGAAACACGTTGAAGCACACTAAAAGACGCTGAAACACGCTGAAGCACACTAAAACATGCTGAAACACGTTGAAGCACGCTAAAACATGCTGAAATACACTGAAACACGCTGAAAAACAGTGATACACGCTGAAACACACTGAAAAAGCAAAAGCACGCTAAAACACACTGAAAACGCTAATACTAGCTGATACATGCTGAAGCACACTGAAACACGTTGAAACATGCTGAACCACACTTAAGAAACTGTGATACATGCTAAGGCATGCTGAAACACGCTGAAGCACTCAAAAACACGCTAAAACACACTGAAAATGCTGATACACACTGAAGCACGCTGAAACACGCTGAAAAACACTGAAACACACTGAAAACGCCGAAACACGTTGAAACACGCTGAAAAAGGCTGATACACGCTGAAGCACACTGAAACATGCTGAAAAAGGCTGATACACGCTGAAGCACACTGAAACATGCTGAAAAAGGCTGATACACGCTGAAACACACTAAAATACGCTGAAAAATTATGATACACCCTGAAAACGCTGATACACGCTGAAGCACGCTGAAACACATTGAAACATGCTGATACACGCTGAAGCATGCTGAAACACGCTGAAGCATGCTAATACACACTGAAACATGTTGATACACGCAGTAGCATGCTGAAACACGCTGAAAAATGCTGATACACGCGGAAAATGCTGAAGCACGCTGAAACACGCTGATACATCCTGAAGCATGCTGAAAAATGCTGAAACATGCTGAAGCATGCTGAAACACGCTGAAAAATTCTGATACACGCGGAAAATGCTGAAGCACGCTGAAACACGCTGATACATCCTGAAGCATGCTGAAAAATACTGAAACATGCTGAAGCATGCTGAAACACGCTGAAAAATGCTGATACACGCGGAAAATGCTGAAGCAAGCTGAAACACGCTGATACATCCTGAAGCACGCTGAAAAATGCTGAAACACGCTAAAGCATGGTGAAGCAGGCTGAAAAAACCCTGAAGCACGCTGAAAATGCTGATGCAACCTGAAGCACGCTGAAACACACTGAAAACGCTGAAGCACACTGAAACATGCTGAAACACACTGAAAACGCTGAAATACGTTGAACCACGCTGAAAAAGGCTGATACACGCTGAAGCATGCTGAAACACGCTGAAAAATTATGATACACCCTGAAAAATGCTGAAACATGCTAAAGCATGGTGAAGCAGGATGAAAAAACGCTGAAGCACGCTGAAAATGCTGATACAACCTGAAGCACGCTGAAACACACTGAAAACGCTGAAGCACACTGAAACATGCTGAAACACACTGAAAACGCTGAAATACGTTGAAACACGCTGAAAAAGGCTGATACATGCTGAAGCATGCTGAAACACGCTGAAAAATTATGATACACCCTGAAAAATGCTGAAACATGCTGTTACACGCTAAAGCACGGTGAAGCAGGCTGAAAAAACGCTGAAGCACGCTGATAAGATGCTGAAGCACGCTGAAACATGATGATACACGCTGAAAATACTGAAGTACGATTAAACACACTGAAAACGCTGATAGACGCTGAAAACGCTGAATCACGCTGAAACACACTGAAAAACGCTGAAACACGCATATCAGCGTATCTGACATGTTCCAGACGAGCGCTGAATGTGTTTCTAACTTCCAGCTTCATTCATCGTGATTAAATCCACATCTATTCTGCATAAAAACATGACATGGATGCTAACAGGAAAACTTGTGAGAGCTTTAAAAGTTTCTCTGCAGACTTTTTTCATAATGAAAATCAAAGCAATGAATATCTATAGATGTAGAGTAATTTAACAGACGTGCAAAGACCTTATCCTTTTTAATGAGTCTGAACCTTTGCATCCCCATCAGGGCTCCTTCCTTGTTGACGAACCCATTATTTATGCTGCAATGAGCATCAACTCCTGTCAGTTCATTACTTTTTAATCACTGAAGAAGTTGTTGAACCATGTTACGCTAACCTTGATGAAAAGCATCCACGTTCACAGCCATCCAACGCCATCAAACCACTTAGTGTTTAACAGGACCATTGAGGATTTAATTAACAATCAGAAGAGTTTTGCTCCGTCCCCCTGTAAATACATCTAGATGCTCTCTTTCTGTAGATTATGAGAATAGATTTAAACCATGCAATATATCTCTGACTGCCTGGTGATGTGCTCTACATGCCACAGATAATAGAAGCTTGATTGTGTTGAAGAATAATGAAACTTATGATTAACTTGTGTCGCCCACCAAATTCCATAATTCAATCAGTCGTTCTCATAAAGTGCTATTATACGCAGTGCTGTGGATGTTATAGAAATGCTTTTAATTATGGATTTAAACATTATTCAAAGCTGCATTCTTCCAGTCAGTTGGTAAAAATAAAAGATGCTGGAATATCCAGCATTATTTCTCCAGGAATATATTTATTTGTTATGAAAAAGTTCCAAATATGACGCTGAACTTTTTTATTCAACAGTCTTCTGGATTTATAAAATATAGAGCAGTGCTGAATTAATAATTTAACACCGTCTGAAGGTTCAGTAAGGCCGCCAAGATGGAGTCTTCCTCTAATTTGCTGTTATGATAACAGAGACCGACAGTAGATTGCCCTCTAGTGGTGGGTCTAATCTGAATGATAATATCTAGATTGTTATGTCAACATGTTTTTTTTAACAGCATATTTAGAAGACTGATGCTTCACATGGAAATGTTAAATATCACACAGCATCACAGAACATTTGATCAAATAGCTGACATCACTTATCCTTGCATTTTCGGTCCTTTAGTTTTATATTTTCTTCTTTGGTTCTTTATGGAATAAATTTGGTAAATGGTAAATGTCCTGTACTTATATAGCGCCTTTATTTAAGTCAGGAGACTTGACCAAAGCGCTTTACACTACATTCATTCACCCATTCACACACACTGATGGTGGCAAGCTACATTGTAGCCACAGCTGCCCTGGGGCTCAGTGACAGAAGCGGGGCCGCCGTACACTGGCGCCACCCTCTGACCACAATCACTGAGGCCTACGAATAACTCTCACTGGTTCTACTGGTGTTCTCATGACGTCCACTGACTGATTCATTCTCAGACTTCATGTCGTCAGGCTCTGTTTGAGGAACCTAAATTCAACTATAGCTCATCCAGAAGTTTTGGCTTCATGTAACTTTCAACAGCGAATGATCTGCCTGTTACTCTGTAGGTTCCCCTCTAACCCCCACAGCTGACTGAATGTCAGGAACCCCTGGGATCAATATTTAAGGTCCAAAATCTAAAACCACGGAGTTTGAGTACCCGAATCTTTCATCTTATTTTTGTAACTGTAGCTTCCTTAGTATCTGGTAATGAATCTATTTCCCAAAGATGTTGCTGTTTTCAGTTCTACTTTGATTCATGTCTTTCTGTGTTTTCTAGTTCATTGGTTTCATTTCCATCATTCTGTGTTATTTTAGTTTTTTTTTTTTTTTTTACTGTATTTGTGTTTTTAGGTATTGTTTGCCCTCTGCTGCCCTCTTGTGTCAGTGACCTTCCCCTAGCTCCCTTCTAGACTCCTCTGTCCTCACCTGCTTCCAATCTGCTGATTAGCCTGCTCTTTGTTCAGTCTCCATTTATCCTCCTGTTCAGGTACCGTTTGCTGGTTCCTGCTGGTTTTAGTTGCTTCCTCGTCTTTGGCTTCCCGCTGGAGTTTTGCTGATATTTTCTGGTTCTTTGTATTTTGAAGTTTTTTCATTGAATCAAGCATAGCGAGGATAGCTTAAAGGGAATAACCTGGGGAAAAGGGGTATGATGGAGGAAAAGGAGAGAGTCTTACATCTAATCAAAGCTGGAA